TAAAGGCGGTGGTGGTTGTCCTAGTTTTGACGTACGGTGTTTGTTGTCTCGGTCTTTATTTGTTTTCCCCCTCTTTTCCGGTCTTGCTTTTGCCTCTATGCGTTTGTCTTCTTTGACCCTTTTTTTTTTTTTTTTTTTTTCAACCGTTGCCTCCTTTTCAGTGTGCCGTCCTCTTTTTTTTTTTTTTTTGGTGCCTTATTTCACTTCGTGTTTTCACTTTTTTGGGTCTGCATTTCATTTCGCGTTTTCACTCTTTGGCAAATACGACAGTGATATCGTATATGGAAATTAGAAAGGGAAAAATGTATATGGCTGGGTGAGAATACGTGTACATCGAAAAAAAAAAATGAATGTGTACAGAGGTCCGTTCATCGGCCGCATGTGTCTCGCGCCGTCTCTGATCATGTTTTTTTTTTCCCCCTCTTTCACTGATCGTTAATGTACATGGGGGGCCTCGCCAAACTACTAACAAAACGAAAAAAATTGAGAGTGCATCTTCCGGCAGAAGGAGACCAAATACATCCGTTACTATTTACACTAACGCATGTCCCTCGCCGCCTTCTGTGGAAAGATTCAGTCGAGCTTTTTTTCGTGTCGTGAGTAGTGTGGCGATGCCCTAGGTTCTGGTATTTTTTTACCGTGGATTTAATAAGTTTTTGCCTTTTTTCGGTGCCCATCTATCTTCTTCCTCTCCTGCCCACGTTGATAGGCTCCGTGCCTTTCTTTTTTTTTTTTTCCCTAATCTGTGTCATTTTTTTTTATATTTTTTAATCTGTGGCAGTTTTTGTAAGTATGTACCGGCTAACTCCTGATGTACGAATCTCTATAACCACTTTGGCTGGTGATGCTGCCGAAATGATAAGTTCCTGTCAGATTGCGGATGTCCTCTTCTCTCTCTCTGCCTACGGTTTACCGGGCAGTTCTGTTTGTGACGATATATACAATATATGTATGTCATCCACGTGACGTCCACGTGGCTGGCCTTGTACCTAAGAGGTGATTCCTGTCAGATTGCGGACACTTTATATATATATATATGTATGTTCCATCTGGTGTGGGTGAGTGATAGTCTACTTTGATTTTGGTTAAGGTAGATTATCATTTACAGTGTAATCAGTGAGGGGATTCTGCAGACTGTTGAGGGTTCAGCCTCCTGAT